TCATAATAAAGTCTGTCAAGAGCATCCTTTGGTAGAAAATTCAAGAAGGAACCAATATCAACCAACACGTGAGCTAAAGTAATGCCCCTTTATTCAATAGAGACATACAAGGCCTTGTTGTGGTTTCTTCCTTCAGGAGTCAGGTCAGCATCAGAACATCCTAACTCATTATCAATCATCATGCTAGCAACATAACTCTCAAATTGATCGGCAGAAATCTCTTGCGGCACTTGTGCAAATTTTAAGAACTTTACTAAAGATTGTGCATGGGCTTCAGAACATAGTAACAAGGATAACATAGAGATTTTAGAGGGGGTCTGCCCCAGCTGTTCAACAATCTTGTAATCACTTTTACGGATAATCTTTAATACCTCCTCCAACTCTTTCCTGGAGTATCTTTAGTTGCAACTTCTTCAAGCGCCTCCGTCTGGGAAGGCTCCGTTATTTTCTCTTTGCCCCGAGTCTTAGTAGTTAACTCAGTAGCAGTAACTCGAACTGGTGTGGCAGCAGTCTTTGGAGAGATTTCCGGGGAGAAAACCTTCCGCTTTTAGTAACCTTACTTGTCCCAGCAATATTCTTAATGGCAGGATCATCAACCCCAATACCTTCATATTTAGCAGCCAATAGTTCTTGTTTGATGCCATGGTAGTAGACGTCAGTTGCATAGTTCCATGGGATAGATTTGTCCAAGGAATACAGAATTGGTCCATGTGCGGTGATTATTAGAGGAGTAAATTTGGGTTGGGAAGTAATCCTTACAGGACCCTTGGAAGTGATCCTGATAGGAGTGTCGAAAATTACACATACCTCTTCCGGCTCCAAGTCTTGCAATAAATTCTTAACAAACAGAATCTTCTCAACCAGAATTAGGTGATTGTCCATTAGACGCTAAATACCTTCTTTCAGAAACTTGCAACCATTAGGTTGGGCTGCACAGCAAAAACATTTTTCAATACAACCCAGAAATAAACTTGCCTGTAACAGATTCTTCTTGATAATCGGGAGGGGAGTAGCCAAATCACTTACAGTAGAAACATAAAGAACATCATCAATAGAACTAATGCCTTTGTCGTGCTTGGGCATTGGTGTAGTAATTACATAGGGAGTCTCAGGAGGATCAAATTCAATTTCTTTGTTGTCAATCATGTCTTGAATTTTCTTTTTGAAGGCCCAACAGCTATTAGTGTCGTTCCCGGGGCTATTGGAATGGTAGGCACACTTCACATTAGGATTATAACGGGGAGAGGAGGTGTTGGGATTCTGAGGAGGATCCCTTAATTTTATCATCTCTGCTTTTAAAAGATGTTACAATGCCTGAGACAGAGGCATGATGATCTTAGTAAACTGTCTTCTCAGTGTGTCTGACCTACGCTGATTGTTTTGCTAATATTGTTGAACAGGTGCAGGATTAGAAATTAACACAGCTCCTACAGATGGATTGTGATCACTTTTAGTACGACCCTTCTGGCCATAAAAGACATTTGTTTCATTCTTACCATTGGACATCTTCTTTAAAGTACTCGAAGACGCAGCCACTTGAATCTTTCCACTTCTGATACCACCTTTGACATATTCCCCAGTTAGAATCAGTTCAGTAAAACCCGATGAGGAACTTCCAATAAGATGATTAAAGAAAGGCCCTGTCAAAGTTCCCATGAACATATAAACCAACTTCCTATTATATAAAGGAGGTTTCACTCTTCCATCCAGATATCTCCACTTTTGGGCATACTCTTTAAACCCTTCATTCGAGCCCATAGTCATACTTTGTAGTTGCACACGAGTTGGTGCAAGGTCAGCATTATATTGATACTACTTGTAAAAATCAGCAGCCAAGTCTTCCCAAGTGCGGATGTTGGTTCCTTCCAGCTGATAGAACCATTCCAGTTGTGTCCAGATAAGCTCTCTTGAAAGAAGTGAACTATAACTTTCTATCAACAATATGGGGTTGGATCTTTCAAACATAGGGCCGCAAATGAAGCTCGGGACAAGAAACACCATCATATTTGGTAAATACGGGGACCTTGAACTTGTGAGGGATGACAACCCCTAAAATAAGACCCAACTTTTCAAAATCCAGCCCAAGCACTACTTGGATTTCAATAGCATTAAGGCGATCTTCCAACTATTTGTATTTATCATCAGCGGGAGGATACTATTCAGCAGTATAGTCTTCATCATAATCTTGGCCAAAACCAAGGTTGTTATTCTCTTCAGCTTTCACACTCTTGTCATCTTCTTCTTGGTTATCGTTTTCATTTGACGGTGTGATCGGTGGAAATAGAACTGACTGTTTAAAGCTGGATCGCGTATGTCGCGGTAAGCAAGAGTCGCCACCGTCTTTTATGTTCTCCAACATGGAAAGGACAAAAGCACAGCAAAATTCCTTTTCGAGAATGTTTCTCGGTTCGGGAGGTAGATTTATAGAAAGGGAAGGTGTTAGCCCCCTTTCTATCCATGGTTATCCATGGGCTCTTAGGTACTTGCTCTTATGTTTTCAAAATGTTTGCTTTTCAAAATGTGAGGGGGGTTGAAAAAGTTTCGTTGAAAGATTTCTGAATAACTCTTGTATCTGTCCTCAAGAGTGTTTGAAAAATTTGTTTTGAATGCTTTTGAAAGTGTCGGTGTGAAAAGATTGTTTTGTTTGTTTTTTAGAGAGCAAGTATCCATGAGTCATCTACCTACCCTAAGGAATTAGGCTGTGTAAAAGTCCTTAAGGTAGTGCCATCCCACCACTGAGAGGTAGGTAGCACCACTGTTGGAGGTGTTCGGGTCAATTCGATTTTAGGGACAGTGTGGTCACCGAAGCAACAGTTAGGACACCTTAGAAGTAACCCTAATGTCCTAGATCCTTTTTAATCCGAGGCAACCGTTTCGAGGCAACTGTTTCGAGGCAACTGGATCTTGGACATAAGAGCGACCGCTAAAACGTCCTATACTTGACGACCACGTTTCGAAGGCAACGAGTGAGGCATACCCTAGAAGTGGTGTGTGCATTGTGTGTTGTTTTCAGTTTATATTTATCTTGATCATGGCATGGTGAGCTACGCGTTGTTTTTAGTTATCATACATTCTTTCATGCGAGTTTAGCAGTTAGGAGTGCGGAAAATTAAAAGACGGAAAAATAAAAGCTACGCTATTACAAGGCGCGAGTCTATACATCGCCAAAATACAAAGACCCGTTTTTGATAAAAGTGCGGAAAGTAAAAAAAGGCAATAAACCTAATTACTATTACATACTTGAACAGTTACATAATAATCAAATAAGGAAAATAATGCGCGAAAAGAATCAAACTGAACGTCCGAGGGTTTTGACCCTTTGCTTGAAATTAAATTAAATTAAAACCTAATTAATTATTTAATTAAAGAAAAGAAAGTGTTTTTTATGTTTTTTTGTGTTTATGAAAATAAAGAAGTTAAAATTAAATGGAAACCCTAGATCTAAGTTTATTTTGCTTATTAATGAAAAAGGTCAAAATTAGGCTAATTAACTAAATTATTTAATTTACATGTTTTATTTACAAAAAATAATGGTAGTTAATAATGATAATAATAATTATAATTACAATAGTTAATTAAGAAAAAGCTAAAAGCGTCAAAACCTAATTCTATGTATTTTTTATTTATTAAGAAAAGAGATTAAATTTTAAACCTAAATTAACTAAGTTAACTATTAACATTTATTTACAAAAATATTTTAATGGTGAAATTAAATATTAAATAAAAACATTTTTGAGTTTCTGATTTTTATTAGGAAAAAAAAACTATTTTATGGTGAATTAATAATAATTATAAAAAAAACAATTGAAAGAAATTAAAAGAAAAGAAAAGAAAAATAAATATGCAAACCAAGGGGGGTGTCAGGCCCAAAGTGGAGGTTTATGTGGAATTCAGGCCCATTAGACAAAGTCACGTTGACTTTCCTGATTGTGTACGTGCTGGTTGACTGGAGTGCACCATGGATTCCATCTCCTGGCCTTCAGATTGCTCATCAAAGCCACTTGGCAAGCCTAGGCGTGGGTACGTATGGTGGGACATTTGATGAACGCTGCATTGGAACGCTTTAAAACAAAAATCAACAATTATATGGGGGGACCTGGGAATCGAACCCAGGTCCCAGTACCTGCCAGCCATGTTCCCAACCAACTGAGCCACCAAGCGCGTTTGTTAAACTAATAGACAACAAATATAATATAAAAAAACAAACATTAATGGTATAGAACAAAAAGAAAGCGCGCCAGATTTGAACTCTCCAATCACATGATGCCACGCATGCTGTCTACTTCGTTTTCACCTGCAAACATGAATAAGATAGCCACTACAAGAAAAATGATAGATTGGGACGGTTATTTTGGCTGATTACGACGGTTAAAACCGTCGCAATTTACAATCTACGACGGTAGAAGTACCGTCGCAGAATCGTGCGTCCCCAGCCTATTTCGCGACGGTTGCAAAAACTGTCACGCACAACAGATAGCGACGGTTATATACCGTCGTGAATTTGACTTTATTTTTTGTTTTTGTTGTTGTTTGCGACGGTTACTCTACCGCCGTAGGTTAGAAATTGCGGCGGTTTTAACCGTCGTAATCTGATTTATAAATTTCAAATAATATTTTTATTTAAATTATTATTTAGTAAAATAATTTTAAATATAATATTATTTTACTATAATATTTTACTATTATATTTAAATTATTATTTACTTTAATATTTTTTTATTTATAGTATTTTTATTTTATTTTCTATCACTTTTCAACATAATAAAGTTAATTACAATAAAAACATTTAATATCAAATAATCATCAATAATATCAAAAAAATGTGATCAAAGGTAAAAAGAAGTGCAAATTTTACCAATAAACAAGAAAAATTCAAATATCATCAAAGGCCAAATTTCATTTTAATATTTACATTGGTTTGCTACAACTTGAGAGAATTACAAAAAATGTTACAATATTCTACAAAATTCATGAAAGTCCTTAGTGTTAAGTGATTTTGACTACCATTTGGTCCAATTCCACTTGTCCATTTTTACTTGTCCATTTTGCGCTTCTTCTTGTACCTGCATTACAAAACTAACTGTCAATTATGGGCTGGCAGAATAACTCTCACAACAGTTTGCCTAACACAATGACCAGATCTGTTATTCAATAAAAAAACCATTGTTAGCAGGATTCCTGATATTGAGATTAGAACTGCCATTATTTTACCTTTGCAGTTCGGTCAGGTGAACCACTGTAAAGTCGGTCACCAGATTCTGAAATTGTCAAGCTTGTCACAGCCTTAGTATGTTCTTGGATCTCTTGCAACAGAAGTAACAAGTTATCTTTTAACGTCCAGACCTTCACGTGTGTGTCATAGAGATTTAGTTTCTTGGTCTACTTTAAGATACCCGAAACATGCTTCATGAAGTCATGACAATCATTACAGATTCTAAGATTCTTAATGACCCTAATGGCCTTTCTATCCCTACGATAAAGAAGCACAAAAGCCACTGCCAATTTCTCACTATGATAACCCACACAATGCTCTTTCTCTTCCTCTTGAATATCATGTAACACAGACGAAGTATTAGGGGTGTAACCTCCAAGTTTTAAAGTATCTATAACTGAAACTAAAAAATTTGTAATCTTCTCCCATTGTGGATGAGAATGATCACCAGAGACAAACTCATGAACCATTTGATCAATATGGATAAAACTAAGGCCAGGCTCCTTGGCAATTCTATTTTGCCTCAGAGAATTTCTCAAGCCAGCCTTACCACCCCAGTTACCAACTCCACCATATGCATTCGATAAAAGCACATAATCACCATCATGATGTGGATCAAGCTCATTGACTCTTTCCCTGGCCTTTTCAGCCAACAAAAGATGGTTATGGTTCACACACGCCCCAAGCAAAGTCCTCCAAATAACCGAGTTTGGTTTCACAGGCATTTTCTCCACAAACTCAAAAGCTTCAACAAGAAGCCCCGCACGACCGAGAAGGTCAACCATACAACCATAATGCTCAAGCATCGGTTCAATTCCAAACTCATTCGTCATGCTTTCAAAAATCCTCCAACCATCCTCCACAAGACCACCATGACTACAAGCCACCAACACACCTATAAATGAAGTCCGGTCAGGCTTCAAACCAGACTCCTTCATGTCATAAAACGCTTTCAAAGCTTCCTTACTCCGTCCATGAACAGCAAGCCCATTAATCAATGCAGTCCAAGTAACCACATTTCTATGAGGCATTTCATCGAACACCTTAACAGAACGATCAATGGACCCACATCTAGAGTACATATTAATAAGAGCAGCACCCAATGAAGCAGTAATGAAAAGCTGCATCCTGGAAATAAAAGAATGAACCCAGATACCTAATTCAAGCACACCCAACCTCGAAACCGCAGATAAAACACTCAGCATGATAACCCCATCAATGGAACTCACAATGTCCGGGTGATCGAGCTGCATATGTTGGAAAATCGAAATAGCTTCAGCAGGAAGGTTGTTATTAACAAAACAACCAATTAAAGTAGACCAAGAAACTAAATCTCTATGACACATTTCGTCGAACAGTTTGACTGCAAAACAGAGCAAGCCTGAATCAAGAACAGCTATGATAACAAGTTATCTTTTAACGTCCAGACCTTCACGTCCAGACCGAATCAATAGAAAATACGTGTGAATCGGAAATAATAGAAGAATGAGGAATTAAGAATGCATACCTGAATCACGATTGAAGCGTTGGCGGAGTGACTCCGACGTGTAAGTATTCTTTCTTCTCTCATCATTTTTGTGATGAACTCCACTAATCAAATTAACCTCATTGAAGAAATGATCCACCCATTGCGTCGAGTTAAAACTAAGCCTTTTAACAGCCACAGTATTACCATCTGGCATAACTCCCTAAAATGAAAGGAAAAATCTATAAGCACTTAACAACAATAAGGTTGTAAGAAGTTACAATAAGATAAGATCAGAATATACTTTATAAACTGAACCTGATCCTCCTTGTCCTAGCTTATTGTCATCATTGAAGTAATTTGTTGCTTTTTCAAGAATTTCATATGGAACATTTAGCTTGGATTTATTCACTGTATCCAAAAGTGTCCCAAATTGTTTTCTCTCTAGTAAAAAAACACACACACATAGCAATAACTTTTAGCACAAGTATTTTGGAAAAAAGTAATTCCAGTCTTTAAATATTAAACATGTGTACCTCTTCTTTTCCTCATTACATTCTTTCTTATAAAGAAACCCATTGTTGCAGTAACCAAAAGAAGAGCCAAGACAGCAGAAGATGCAGCCAATATTATAGCCATTTTTCGGTGTCCTAAAACACAGTTTCAAGCTTCAATCATGTTCTTATCATAATACTGACCATGGTTATAAATTGCGGTCCGCAACGCAATTGCGGCTGTAATATTGCTAATGCAGTAGCTTCCACAACCGTATTGGACTGCAATTGCAGTGTGATTTAAAACCACGCGTCCGACTATATTATGAACCACATCTAACAATGTCGCTCAAGTTTCTTCAAGTATTTTCACCAAAACTAAAAATTTCAAAACCTCACTATGTAATGAAAAATCTTAAGATTAAATGTTTTTGGTCTATTTCAAACCCCTCAATCAAAATTCACACTGCAACGACCACAATGCGCATTGCGGCAACCATGTCACAACACCCACAACTGCATCAGCGATCGCAACCGAACTTTAAAACCATGATTCTGATATTTTAAACTACTTTACATTAACAAAAAATACAATGAACAAAAATTCAAGATTATGAACAAGTTCAAAATGGTAAGTTTGGCATAATCATGCTACTGTAATTTTGATGAAATCAATACTTCAAAGTTTCGACGAAATCAGATTACAACCGTGACTATGCACAATTCATGGCTAACCGAAAGAAAAAGAGATCATAGCTCACCGCGATTTCCAGCAGCAACATCATTACTACTTGAATTGTTATAGAACTTGTGTGGTGAATGCCTCAAATAACAACCAGAATTCAAAGCCCGTCCATCTTCTTTCTTCCTACACGAAGAACCAATCCTAGTAACCGCATCCTCCAAACATCTCCGACAGTTACCACCAGTAACAAACTTCCAACACTGAGCCAAACCATACACCGTTACATTCTTCCTCTCAACAAACCCAACAGAAAATCCACCGTTTTTCGGCGCCAACACACTCAAATTCCTCAGCAATTCATAAACATTCGCTTCATAAACATTACTACTTGTTTTAGTTTCATTATTTCCACACACGGTTGTGTCTTGATTACCAAAGACAAATGTGTGATCGCCACAGTGTCTGGATTACCTTAATATTATTATCATAGCTACATGAAAATAAGATATCCTCTGTTGGGTGCCACCTCACCATTTTCACATCCTGAGTATGTCCTTGCAGCACTGAGACACACTCAAACTCATTGCCTGGCTGCACTTCCATCATGTTCCATTCTGCTCCATCCATTATTTGTAAATCCAAATAACAGAATTTCATTATTTACCACTTCATTCCATCTCATACCATCAATCCAAACATACCCTAAAGAATTATCATATAAGTGCTTATGTATAAGCTATTTTTATAACAAATGATAAAATAAAACCAAACTACTTTTACATAAGCTAATAGCTATAAGCTGTTTTATAAGCATGCTTACAGAAATGGGTTGAAAACAGCTTATGAACATATGTTTCCATAATCTCTCTCAAATCATCTCACAAAATCATCTCACAAGTGCTTATGTCAATAGATAAACCAATTCAAACGGACTCTTAATAAAAACGATTCTAGAATTGTAAGTTGTAACATACAAAATTCATCAATAATTCCTATTCAAAAGTGATTCTACTCAACAATCCAAAAAAAAAAATTGAAACATACGCTATAAAAATAAACGACGGTGTTGAAATTTAGAAATAGACCTTGCATGAGAAGAGGCTATTGGAGAGGTTCTGTTCCCAGATTCGAACGGTTTTATCACCGCTGCAAGAAGCGAAAACGAGCGGAACACCGGCATGACCAGTGGCCGGATTCCAATCCAAGCTCCAAACCCTATCGGTGTGACCTTCGAGTTTCTGAACCTCTTTCAACTCTAACCTCTCCATTGCAAAGAACGATTTGACTCAGCGTACACGAGTTACAAACACAGACTCGCTCGTTTCTTCTCCACTTCAGTTCAATTTGTTGGCTGTTTCCTGTTTTCTCGCGAAAAGGGACAGGGAATTCAGAGAATCTTCCACACGAACGTGACAAGGGGTTTTCTTTTTTCAAAATAAAAGTTGGAGACTAATCGAGGAAAAGGAAAAACACGGTGGGCGAGTGGCTTGTGCAAAACAAAATAATTCTTTTTTTTTTCTTTTTCTTTTTTACTTTGCAAATTGAATTTTGGGTGCGACGGTTGTTTTACCGTCGTGAAATGAATTTTAGGACGGATAATTTTACCGTCGTGAAAGGTTTAAGGGTGCGACGGGTGATTTACCGTCGTGATATGCTTTTTAGGACGGTTAATTTTACCGTCGTGACTAGTTGTTGGTGAAAAATCAATGTTAAAAGTGTTAAATGGGGGCCGACGGTTGTTTTACCGTCGTAATAATAATATTATGATGGTTAAATATACCGTCGCAAAATAAATATTAGGGACGGTTGGTGTCAACTGTCGTAAACACTGTCTCTATATGTCAATTACGACAGTTATCACATAACTGTCGCAATTTTTGTGTCGTTAAACACTAATTTTCTTGTAGTGAGCGGGGGTTTTAAACCCCCACTAACCATAACCACGAAAAATAGCGACTAGAGTTAGGGACAATATAAAAAGGGCGCGATGATTCCATTCAGTTCGTATTGAGCTTCTGAATTTAACTGCATAGGTCTCAAGGTCCAATTTTCCCTTATGCCTAAAGCCCTAATTGCAAGCTTCAGAAACCCTAGATGTCGTTCATGGTGGATTTTGATTCAGGCAATTATAACTCAATTGGATTATACCAAAAGCTTCAGGAGGATGTCAGCAACATAAACCAATAATCAAAACATAACAATGATGCATAGAAATTAGAATTCGATTATGGAAATATTTGTTAAAAACGTGACTCTGTTTTACCGTTTCCTTGGGTATGAGAGCTTGTTCTTGATAGTAATAGCTTCCTGGAGACTTAGGCAATATGTTTGAATCACTTTTAAGCCTTGAATCCACCTGCAAATAGGATTTCCGTTTCACAATGTTTTTGAGTTTTTTGCAATTTTGTTCTATGGTTTCAGCAGCAATTGTGCGTGTCCTTGAGTAGGGTTTCACTCAGCATATGTATGTGATGTGAATTAGGTCAAGAATAAGCCCAAAAGTCCATGGCATTATGACTTGAATATTTGATTGCCTAATCATATCTTTTTCAATCTTTTCTTTCATGAAACCTTGCCAATCATGGATTTTTTGCCTTGTTGATTGAGAAACGAGTTGCCAGCTTGCCCTAGTCATATTTGCTGCACAAAAAGATCTAAAGAAGCATATCTTTGAATTTTCCTATAATTAAAACCAATTAAATGAATTAATATAAATATAAATTCAATTAATTACTTAAAAATAAGAAAATAAATTATTTTGAGCTCAATGGGTCGTGCATAGGCTTTGGGTAAAGATTCAAGAAAGAATTTGAGGCCCATTAGCAAAATTGAAGCTTTTTAGGCAAAGTTGACTTTTGAAAGTTCCCAAAAATTTCCCAACTTCTCCAATGCATATCTTGCTCAATTTTGAAGCTATGAACATGTTCTTGGACATTTTGGAAAGGTATTGAAGTCCTCTAACCAATGCCTTTGGACCCATTCCATTTTGATTCACCAATCTCAAGTTATGGTCTTTGACTTAAAGTGCCTTTTTGTTGACTTTTGAAAATGACCTATAATGTTGAAATTGATAACTTTTTGTGAGAGCATTTCTTGGACTTGGAGTGTGAAGATGAGTTGTAGGAAATGTCATCCCCTTCAAAATAAGATTTGGATGGGATTTTTCTGATGAACCATGAAAAAGTTACACCTTGGTCAATTTGTAGTTGACTTTTCAGCTGTCCAAAAATAGCAACTTTTGACACCTTGAGACTTTTTGAGCCATGCTTTGAGAATAATGATCAAGACTTGATCAAATGATGATTGTGGCTTCAAAATAAGATGTTGACCAAAATTTTGACTTTTGACTGTCAAATGACCATTTTACCCCTGCAGTTGACTGTGAAGCATTTAGGGCTTTTGACTGTGCAACTTGATGCTGTGAGTCTTGAAACTTGACATATAGATGCTTGACAATGTATATAGACACATGGTACTTGGTTGGACCCTTGAAAACCTCATTTTCTTTGCAAGAACCAAAACCCTAATTTTGACTGTGTTAGGAGACAATTGAACTGTGCAATCCTTGAGAGATTTTGAAGTTTGATCTTGACACATCTTGAAGAATATGGGAGGGCAAATTTTGGGGTACAACAGTTGCCCCTGTTCAATCTTCTTAGACCTGAGGATGTAGATTGGCTGGCGTGCCTTTCGTAATCCGAAGGTGGAAGATGATTGAACACTAAAGTGCCCAGAAATTTGCACTCACATAGTAGAATGTTAGCAGTGTGATGTAATGAAAGGGCTTACAGATGCCATTTGGAGAGATGGTGGATAGGGGGATGGGCTTATAGATGCCATCTGGAGGTGTCGATCGCGTAAGAGATTCCTTAGCGAGAACTTGCGTACCTGAAAAAGAAAGATAATTACCTGGCCTGTTACAGGGGTTGATCTTCAAACTCTTTATGTGGATGTGCCCTGGCTGGATACAGGTATCGAATCTTCAATTAGTTACTCACATATGTGCCCTGGCTAGATACAGGAATCGAATCCGGAAATAGTCGTCAACAGATACGCCCTGGCTGGATACAGAAATCGGATCTTCAAACTCTTCAGACGTGCCCTGGCAGGATACAAGAATCGAGTCCGGAAATAGTCGTCAACAGATACGCCCTGGCTGGATACAAGAATCAGATCTTCAAACTCTTCAGACGTGCCCTGGCAGGATACAGGAATCGAGTCCGGAAATAGTCGTCAACAGATACGCCCTGGCTGGATACAGGAATCGGATCTTCAAACTCTTCAGACGTGCCCTGGCAGGATACAAGAATCGAGTCCGGAAATAGTCGTCAACAGATACGCCCTGGATGGATACATGAATTGGATCTTCAAACTCTTCAGACGTGCCCTGGCTGGATACAGGAATCGAGTCCGGAAATAGTCGTCAACAGATATGCCCTGGCTGGATACAGGAATCGGATCTTCAAACTCTTCAGACGTGCCCTGACTGGATACAGGAATCGAGTCCGGAAATAGTCGTCAACAGATACGCCCTGGCTGGATACAGGAATCAGATCTTCAAACTCTTAAGACGTGCCCTGGCTGGATATAAGAATCGAGTCCGGAAATAGTCGTCAATAGATACACCCTGGCTAGATACAAGAATCGGATCTTCAAACTCTTCAGACGTGCCCTGGCTGGATACAGGAATCGAGTCTGGAAATAGTCGTCAACAGATACGCCCTGGCTGGATACATGAATCGGATCTTCAAACTCTTCAGACGTGCCCTGGCTGGATACAGGAATCGAGTCCGGAAATAGTCGTCAACAGATACGCCCTGGCTGGATACAGGAATCGGATCTTCAAACTCTTCAGACGTGCCTTGGAAGGATACAGGAATCGAGTCCGGAAATAGTCGTCAACAGATACGCCCTGGATGGATACAGGAATCGGATCTTCAAACTCTTCAGACGTGCCCTGGCAGGATACAAGAATCGAGTCCGGAAATAGTCGTCAACAGATACGCCCTGGCTGGATACAAGAATTGGATCTTCAAACTCTTCAGACGTGCCCTGGCAGGATACAGGAATCGAGTCCGGAAATAGTCGTCAACAGATACGCCCTGACTGGATACAGGAATCGGATCTTCAAACTCTTCAGACGTGCCCTGGATGGATACAAGAATCGAGTCCGGAAATAGTTGTCAACAGATACGCCCTGGCTGGATACAGGAATCGAATCTTCAAACTCTTCAGACGTGCCCTGGCAGGATACAGGAATCGAGTCCGGAAATAGTCGTCAACAGATATGCCCTAGTTGGATACAAGAATCGAATCTTCAAACTCTTCAGACGTGCCCTGGCAGGATACAGGAATCGAGTCCGGAATAGATCGCTCACAGACAGGCCCTGGCTAGATACAGGTATCGAATCTGGAATTGCGATAGTTGATAGTAATCATCTTTGTATTAACTTTTGTCCTGAAAAGACAAAACATTAGTTGTATGCGATATCGTGATGTATGAAATGCATGATATCATGAGATGACTGAGATTGTATGTTCATGATGCGTATATGCATGCTATAATGTATGAAGATGCGGTGTTTATGAATGTATTTTCGTCTAGGAAAATAAATCCTTGACGAATGCCGGGAGTTCAAATCCTGGGTTGGTGTTGAAGAGTAGAGCTCTTTGTTTCCGCTAGGGATAATGGTTGCATGAATAAACCGGTAGGAGGAGATGACTCTGTTGAGGAATAAACTTTGCTGGAGAGATTACTCTGCAGGGAATTACTCTGTGGGGAGAGAGGTACTTTGCTGAGATGTTGATGATAACTCCGCCGGGGATACCACTGTTGAGCTCTGTTGGAAGATTTGATGAACTCCGCTGGGGATAGGAAGGCTTCGCCGGGGACGATCTTTCCGTGGAAATTCGCTAAGGATAACCCAGTTACATCCTGGTGGGGAAGTAACCTTTGAATAAAACCGGGGAGGCGTGTTCGTACTCTGCAGATATAAGCTTCCAGAATCTACTGGGGATAAGCTTCCTGAATCTACTGGGGAGGTTGATTGGACTCTCCTGGGGAAATTTTTCAGATTGGACTGGGGAATGGCTCCGCTGGTTATCCGGTATTCTGCCGGGGAACAATCTTATATTAAGACTGTCGGGGATGCTTGTTAGGAATGTCTGTATGTTCCGTTCGCTGGGGAATATTGAGAATTTCTGGGGATACCCAACTTCCTTAGGGCTGACAGTAGCCTGGCTCTGCTTGGGGAGAGTGTTGTTGACT